TATGCTATTTTGTGAAGGCTTTATTGTCTTCATGATTTATTGTTTCTTGTCTGTGAAATAAAGTAAATAAAAGCTTTGTTTCCACTGAGGGGAATAGTTTCAGCTTACAAAAATAGACTGGAGGTCTGTATCGCAGCGACATGTACTTACATTTCTGAGGAGGTGAACGTCAGGCTACGGTGTAGGGTACGGTGTTGATTTGACGCAGAAACTTAAAAATCCACTTTAAGGAGTGGGGCTTAGCAAAGGTGGAAAAGATACTGTAGTTTCTAATCACGTGTCAACAAGACGTTAAAATTTAGGATTTATAGAATAGTTAGTGAAACACAATTGCATATTGAGCTATTTTTATGTGATTTTTTTAATGGTCTTTTGTGGGTAGATATATTATTTCCATAGCATTTTTACTCATAAAGTAATATTAAATGCTTCAATGTGTGCAGGCTTACAATAAATATATTACTGTAGGCTAAATGCACGAAGATAATAATGTTAAGGAAAAAAACAGCAAGGAATGTCTGCTCAGGCTCAGCTCCTGCGGCTCCTGCGGCTCCTGCGGCTGCTGGACACTGACACCATTATATCAACCAGTTCTGTATTTGTTCCTACACACACAGCCTTCATTGAATGCATCCAAACAATTTTCAGTGGACATTGGCCTTTAGTCTTTTTGCTCTTTCTCAGTCTCACCATCTTTCCTCCAATGATTTCCATTATTATAGCACATGCCTCGAGGGTTTACTGCAGTGTTATTCCTCGCTCTCCCTGTCCTCCTCACTCTCCTTGTTTTTCATTTTCTCACTTTCAGCCCGTCTCTTTGTCTCCCTCTCTCTGTCCCCTGCTATGCCAGCAACGCAATTTTTCACTTCAGTGAGAAAACAGGTATAATAGAGGGAGTGTGCCAGTCTGTTTAATAAAGGAATAAAGGCAAAGAGGAGAGATGAGAAAGAAAAAGGAAGTGCCCTTGGGGCTGAAAACAAGGGAATATACACACAGACACAAACACACACACACAGGTTTGCACAGACAATAAGGAGGGAACACAAAAATTCACACCTGCTTATCTCTGAGGAATTGGTTGTGAGGTGCTTCCCTATTTAATTAGAAACTTTGGTAGGAACCTCATAAATCACCACAACATAAAACTGAAGGGTAGGCAATGAATGCTCCCCATATCCAGGCTGATGCACACACCCATACACACAAATCTGCACGAGTCCGAAAGATACGCCTATTGGTAATTCATGAATTCATGAGCATGTGAGATCTTCAGTTTCAGTCAGTGATCCATAGATTTAATATGTGTGCATGTATGTGTGTGTACCGACTCTAGTCTGCCTTTACCATAGGGGCTGGCAACAGCAGGATATTATACCTCTGCTGTGTGTGAGGAATATTGCTGGATAAATGCATACTTCATCAACTTTACCTTTTAAAAAAAACAGTTAAAATTCCCCCTGATCAAATCACTCAGCTCTGTGATTACACGTGAGCAAAGACAGGACAGATAGTGTTGTGTTGATAAATGGAGCACAAGGGTGCAGAAAGGTCCCCTTGTGTGTGTGACTGTGTGTGCACGGGACTGTTCACATATATAGTGTGTGTTAATGCTTGAACTTGGGGCACGTGTGTGTGCGCTTGTGTCTCCAGAGTTATTCTGATGGCAGTGTGTGGTAACGGGATCCAGGGTGATGTCTGCTCTCAGACAGCGTCTGGCTCTCAGCTCCCCATCTATTATTCACACACCTGGACACACACACTGCCTTCTCCTCTCATATCTTTACTACACTTTCTTTTCCACATTTTGTGGCTGAACAGTTAAAAGTTCAGGTCTGTTGACTCTTTCTTGGCATTTTCTTTGTCAATATGTGAGCGTTGGTTTCTGAATATGTGTGTGTCTCCTTGTGTATTTATGTATTTGTGCTTATCTCCCAGGAAACCAATCACACTTGAAGTCAATGAACTGCTCTGTTTGCCCTGGTAAACAAGCCGAAAATTAGTATTGACCAGAGAGAAGAGGACAGACTGATAAGCTGTAAAAGAAAGCAATAGATAACCACTAAAACAAAGCACAGTCTGGAAAAGGAAAAAGGAATAAAAGAGTTCTCAAAGTCATCCCTTGGCTAAAGTTGATCTGAGCCTGTCAGTAGGTCATTATCAGACCTAGACATCTCTTTGGGAACCTGGCACATCTCCACCACCATGGTTGGATAGGCTGCTGATTGACATTTATAGAGGCAGTGTATGCTCCAAACAGAAAAAAAAAGCCTGGTAAGATGAAAGAATGCACCCCTGTTATTGTGATGTGGAACACAGCCTTCCATAGAGATAGATAAAGGTCACAGTGGGGGTGTCTGTGAGGTGACCCTGGGAATGTTGATCAAAGTCTGTCACCAGACCATTATGAAAAGAGCCCATACTCATCTGAGCTAGCTACCTGTTCTATGCAAGGTTGATCTAAGGTTTTCCTGTTTCTGTGTCCAGTTAATCATGACCTTAGGTTATTGTAGGTCAGTGATTCTCTGGCTAAATCAAACAGATCCACCATTCATTATCCTTAACGGCTGGATAAATCGGTGATTGACAGTTTGGGAAGCTGGATGTGGTCAACTAATAAAAGTACCATTAAGTTTCTGTGACTCAGTGGAAGAATGGGCAACATTGTCATTCTGTTGTTACATGTATACATGTGGGATTCCTTGGTCTTTTGCTTTTTTAGTCTTCAGCCTGGACCGAACCATCTCCCCAAACGAGCGTCCATGGACATATGCTCTCTACACTTTGGGCAGAGATTTTGGCTGGATAGTTCCTCTATCTGACGGTTGCATGCCAGTATTGTGGGAGGAGAGGAGGCAGGGAAATGAGGAAGCAGTTTTGTGATTAACAGCAACTTTAATTGGTGGCTACTAATGCTGGAAAACAGAAATGCATTGATTTATAGTGAATTACTTTATGCATGTAGCAAACAGTCACAAGAAATAGATCTGTAAGTGGAACTTATTTCATTTACAGACAGAAAGAGAGTGGTGGAGGAAGATATTTCTGTCCATCTTTTCTTCCTCAACCTTTTCCTCTTCCTCTTCTTCCCTCGCCTCTCTAACATCAAAGCTAGCCACCTCTCGCTCTGCCATATGTCCAGCTTCCTGGGTGCTACAATTCTCACAGGTGTGGATGCTATACAACCTTTCCTTCTCTGTTGCACATGCGCACACACACAAAATACAGCTCCCTGAGTATAATCTCAACGTGATTATACCCTGTGGGTTCTATTTATACTTTTCACCCTGCTGAAACAGTTTTCTGGCCGCACTCTTACAAATGAATGGCATCTATAGCTCTTGGTTTTGAGCACTGCTGGGTCGCCTGAAAGGCCAAGTCTTGATTCGACACAATAGGCTGATTTGGTGCCCTCACTACTCCGGGGGAGCATGTTGACTTCATTAATGGATCCCAAAGCCTTTTAGCTCTCACACTGTGGCCTCTGGTCACAAAATATAATGGGGTGCACACCACTCTGTATCACTGCCACCGGGTTGCACCACTAATAGAGACACAGGTGGTGATGTGTGCTCAAATTATGCCGTTGCCTCTGTGGGGTCCTTGAGGCCCAGCCAGTGGCTGCAGCAGCAGTGGCGGGAAACAGCAGCTCTTATCACTGCAGAATAACGGTGAAAGAAAAGAGAAACAGTAGAGGAAATAATTGGTTTGAAAGAGAAATGTGCGTAAGGGTTTTTCTCAGCCAGGCCAGGTATTTGTCTGCACTAAATGAGGTCTGTCAGGAGATTTCTACCTGTCGCCTCTAACACCCCGCCGCAGCTCTAATGAGACAGTGAAAGAGGAATTGGATGGAAAAAGACGCAGGGAAATAAGGACAAGGAATGGAAGAGTTGTGTAGAGAGAGACGAGCTCTGACATCTTCTCGGCTCTGTAAAAGTAAAGGAATGATGCATATTGCGAGAAAAAGGGGCAAAACTGAAAAATCGATGGACAAAGAAATTATGCAAGACCATGAGGAAGAAGTGACGGAGAGAAAAAAGGATCCGAGATGGAGCAGGTGTTGAATAAGGAATAGGTAAAGGGACAATTGGCCAGAGGAAGAAAGGCTTTTTGCTGTTCACTTGGCACATTGAATAAATTTGTGTTATTGACTTGACAAAAGAGGCCCTTCCTGTCCACTTCCACACAGATTACAGCAACAAGTGCAAGGCCATTTTCCTATTTTATCTGGAAAAAGTGGGCTCCATCAATAACTATATATCAGCAGGGTTTGCTGGGAGAAAGGAGAAAACAACATATCAAGTCTGCAAGGCTTTTTATATCTGGTCACATCTAACAGTGGGCAGACTGAAGGGTTTTTAGCCTAAAAATGTGCAAGCACAATCAAAAGAGTATGGCTGAATTGGAGACAACATACAAAATACATCGTTACGGCAGCAGCAGAGGAAACGAGTCTACAACAAACATACCAAGACAGAGCGAGTTGAATTTTGAAAAGAACAGAAGGAAAAAAGTACATCAGAGAAAGAAAGTGAGTTGTTAGAAGTCAAGCGGTCACAAATGTTCTCAAGATTGAACCGGCTATAAGCCTGCAGGTATTCCAGTCCAACCTCATGACTTACAGATTGAGACAGAACGAGAGGGAGAGCGAGATAGAGAGGGAGAGAGGGGGAAAAGAGCAAAAGCAATAGCAGAGGAGGGAAATGAGTAACAAAAGCTGAGCTGTGAGCCCCCTGCCTGGTCACAGTGCTCTAAGGCAGCTCAGCAGTGAAGGGAATGATAGCAGGGAGACCTGCCACTCACCCTTTGAAGCCATGGGGGAGATTGAGGGAGGAGAGGAGAGCAGGGGGAGAAATGAGTTAGGAAGCCTCCAGACACTTGTCCCCTTTCACGTCCAACACCATCATCCCTCACAATAACATTCTTGTCCTTCTCTTTGCCTCTCTCCTTGCTTTTTTTCTGTCTATCTCGCAGCGGGGGATAAGGTTAGATTAGTAGGCCGCATGGACCTGCAGGCTAACAGGTACCACACCTTTAATGCCACAACGGTCAGTCACTGAGCCAGGGGTCCCCCCGCGGCTCTGTCTGCTGTAGTGTCAGATCCCAGATGTGAGGTGGTGGAGACTGAAGTAGCACCACTACAAACAAACATAAGTGCCAGGAAGCCACCTCACTCACAAAACTTAAAATTGATTTTTGTGTTTTGCTGATAATCTCAGTGTTGCCATGTAATGCCCAGCTGGGTGATAATAGTATTGCCAGACGGTTCCTGCTACCAAAGTAACAAGTGGTAAAATTGTTAATGACTAAAGAGGTCTATCTAACCAAAATGTTGCAATTATAATCACCAGAGCCAATTAACAGAGTGCCAATTAACAATTATTTTTAATATAAAAGACAGTCTTTCATTTTTATTTCGAGTTACCATCACACAGGTGTCTCATGCTGTTCTGAGTTGCAGTGATGAAATCAGAGTGTAAAATCAGCCACACTGTCAGCTGTCACTCTGGGGGTAAAATACACTTGGCACAGTTAAAATGAAGTTAAATTATCATTATGTGTTTAGTGTCATTAGCAATCTCTCCGTTTGTTAGAAGCTCTGTTTTTAAAAAGTGGAAATAAAAAGTCTGAAACATAGACTGTATAATGAAGACAGACGACATGACAGCACCCCAAAAGTGAAGCCAAAACTGCTCGATCGCCCCCCTGGTGACTGGCTGCAGCACAGGTCATAAACCCCACCCCTCTATGTTAGCGAGTGGGACATGTGCCAAAGTAAAAGATTGAAGTACACCTCAAGTAATTTTTTTCTTAATAATGGTTTCTGTTATTTTAAGTAGTTCTTATCATGCTGATGTATGTTCAAGTGTTGGTTTTTGGATAAGTTTGGATTTTATACGTCTTTAGTTGCTATATAAAGGGGGTCTGATGTCATTATTTACAGTCACATGTGCCAATCAGGGTGCTAATAATCTCATAGCCAATGGTGCTTCTTGCCATTGGTTGGATGGGTGTATGGGCAGGCACTCAAGACTGCGGAGATAGCTATTGTGAAGTCTCTGGCTCCAAATGGTGCCACTGGCGCAAGATGGCAGCACCCATATCCAGGATATTTTGACTTCATTTTTGTAAAGTGGCAGGAAGTGGAGATGCGTTGTCCATATATAGTCTATAGCTTGGAACAATAAGATTATTCTCTGGAGCAGGTTAGCTGTTTAATATAAGTTATCACAGTGAAAGTGAACCAACTTTGTATTACTGAAAGCCTAGCATTGATCCTAAAGTTACCTCGCTAACTACAAGTCCTGCTTCGTAGGCCAGGCCTTTGGAGCCGAGTTATCCGCAGAGGTGTCTTGGTCTTCCAAACAGACCTAATAATTAAACCAGTAAAAACACTGAATAAAGCAGGGTAACATTAAAAATCAGTGTTTCACTGATGCTCTTTGGAGGCCACATATCAGAACGAGTTGCTAGCTAAGCTGCTGCTAATGATCCAGTTGTTTCTAGCTGCTTAACTTGTTTTAGGCTAGGATTCCTTCAATGTTCATCCTTCATATGGTTTCACCACAGGATACTGAATAAAGCAGTTTCATGTTAAAAATCAATGCTTTTCGATTGACAAGAATGTCCAGGGGGTTGTGGGGGACCACAAGCCAAGCTGCCGCTAATGTTAGATAACTCTGATAGCTTAAGATTCAGACTTCCAATGACTTAAGTCCCTCACCTACTTCAAACAGTTAATAGTTTGAATAGTTAAACACAACTGAGATCTAAAACGTGATGATGACATGATTTAAAACAGTAAGTAGTTGGCTGGAAATGTTGAATGTTTCACTCTCTGGCTGACAGATGGCCCTTCTGGATGGCCTTGTTATACTTATCCTTCTCCTTAGTTAATTTTTTCATGCTGCTGCATTGACACAGTGACACCCGGGTCACTCACTAATTAGTCTTAGTCTTCATTTCATCTCATAGCTCAGAGCTGTGGAGGTTCTCCAAAAGTTTCTTTTAACCTCCTGTTTCTAAACAAGGCAGCCAAAATAAAACATCTGCAGAGGATTAACCTCCATAAAACCAAACCCGACATGAGGGCCATTGTAGAGGTCACATTTCAGCATAGTTTTGACACTGCCAACGCGAGTCTCTGTAGTTACTTCCCTGCTAACAATGACATTTCCGTGATTTGCACTCACAAAGCACCTTCCCTCACAGTGCAGGCACTGGGGGAAATGCATTAATTAAAATCCTGCTGTGTAGCAGATATGCCTAATCGCAAACATAAAACAGAGAATGGTGAATTAAAGCACAGAATGAGTTCAGTTCCACTCTGTGGGGTTTTTTGCCCACTCATCCTCCTATAGAGAAAAGAGTTGAGCCGGAAGGAAAGAAGGAAGGAAGGAAAGAAAGAAGGGGGGATTGTCAAAGTGTCTTTAATGAACTGAATGAATATTTTACTTCCATAAAGAAAGGCAGTAAAGCGTTGAGTTCATGTTGTATCTTTGGATAACTGCAAGATGTGTCTCCATTATAGCTCGTCATAAAAAATAAAACATAAAACACGGTGCCAAAAGACATTGTGGATGTAGAAGTACCATGGCATTAGTCATTCATGTGTCACCTACAGTACTTGTTTTAGAAGCCACATATCTTTAGTGCCTTGCTCTCTGGCCAGTCTCCCTCTTAGACAGAATGAAAACATTTGTCAGTCTTTTATTGTCCGTAATAGCTCCTGGCGATGAATAGCGGATCTCTGCTCCAGCAATGCTACACGACCAGCCTGGCATCCCACATTAGTGTGCCACATTCTTGTTAATACCCTGAGATTAATGTCAAATCATCCACACTCCCCCACTAGTCTCGCACCAGTCCATCTCGCCTAAAGCTATATATTGAGGCATTGAATGTGGAAGTGGAGGGTTTGTCCTGGCATTGATTGACACTGAGAGATAGATCCAGTCCGCCTCCTAGCTCCCTTTCCTTCTGTTATTCTCTCCACCCCCCATCACCCCCTCTTTTCTCTCTGTCTGCCATATGTTTCAGTGAGCTGGACAGATTTGGGCAATCAGACAGCCACCATTGTATTGCTGTCGGTATGAATAGAATGCGTGGAGAGACACATTGCCATTATGTAGTGACGATACGTTGTTTCTTTTCTTCATGTCTCTTTCACAGTGAATGTTCTTCTCAGTTGTCTCTGGCTGTCTCTCTTGCTGGGCTCTTATTGCATGTCCTGCCTTGCCTGGTTGAATACCTAACACTCTGCTGTGGTTTGACAAAGAGGGTCGAAACCTGAGCAAAGTGTGGCAGGTCAGGTTGCAGTGGCATTTGGCATGTGGCTATGCTCTTGGCGCTTCAAAATGTTTCTGATTGATATCTTGAACAGGGTAGGGACCCAAGGGCTTAAAGAGGAGACCCCAGGAGACCTCTCTGTGTGCACACTTATCTTGGACTCTTGGATGTGGATGTCATGCTATTCAAAACTAAATCACTGAAAGATAGCAGTTTGTTAAAGGGGCTGAATACAACATTTAACACATTAATATAGCAGCAAACAGCTATTTGCTATGTAAAGTTATGATGGAGTAATGACGTCCTGAGCAGAGAGTGAAGTCACGCTGCCTCTGTGTGTGTTGTAATCTGAGCTTCTCTGCTTTTTGTTGTAATAGATGATCCCGCCATGCATGCATGTTAGTGCATGTGAGTCCATGTGTGTCCATGTGTGTATCCAGCTGACATGCTAATCGCATCCACTGCGCACATTTGCGCACATATGGCAGTTAGCATTAATATGGCAACGCCTTTGTCACAAAAGCGTACTGCTCACCTCCTGTTCCTATCAAGGTTGATGCTGCCATCTCAACACTGTTACCTTTAGCCCCTTTTACACTTCCTATTCAGGGCGGGAATGCCCTGCCTCATGGTCCTGTGTATACAATCATGGAATAGGGGGACAGAGTTGTCTCGCCCTTAAGCGACCATGGGAGGTAAACAGTGTCTGTTTAAACAGGACAGCCTGCAAGATGGAATCATTGGCAGCATGGGTGTGACATTTTGATGTGTTATGCATGGGACCCAATGCAGGAGATTTAAAAAGAAGCTGTCAGCAGTTAGCAGCTAACTCAAAGACGAAGAACAGCAGCTATAAATGTCCGTAAATTGGGAATACAATGAGGTCTTGGAGCTCCTTACTTTTTGAGCAGAGGACGAGATCAGCCGCCATGTGACAGGGATGGTAAATGATTTTTAATGCCATGATAATGCAAATGCTATTGTTTAGAGAGCTCTGCTAACGCATATGTTTTATATGACACTATGGGCTGACGCTTTTGTTTGCACTGCTAGCTTGTAAGCTGCTAGCCGCTGGCTCAGCCACCTCCATGTTGAGGGCCGTGTGTAAGCAATTCCAGCAGATGTGCTCTGAATATTGCTTACAGCAGCTTTAAAATTGACTGACCCACAAACTTTGATAAATATTGTAAAAAGTTTAGATGTTTTTAGTTTCGACATTATTATGATAGTATGAACTGGTCAAAGTGACATTACAACTGTGTAACAGGAATTCCTGAAGATAATTTTTTACAACTGCGTTCCTTTTTTTGTAATTTTGGCCATCATTTCAGTTTGTTATAACATTGTACTTACTTACAGTTTCACTGCTGAGATCAAGGAATGTGAGTCCAATAGAGAAAAACACAGCAGCAGATTGACAACAGTTTATCCCAAACATCTACACACTTATTTCTAAATATAAATGAAAGTGAATGCACTTAAAATGTCTGTTATGATTCATTGCCTTGTAAAGCTAATTACAGGCACAGATATGATGCATGTGGTAGGTTAAAGTTGAAGTGTGGTGTAGTGTTGGAGGATCTAATAGACATTTACAACAAGATTGACCATTACTTTCAGTTCAACATTACTGACCACAAGTCTTGAACTTGCGCTGGTGAATCATGGCCAACATTACTGATATACTGCAAGACCCGAGTTTTTACACACAAACTATCTTCTTTTACAGCATTTTGCACTGTAAGTAGATTGTGGAACA